TTTATTTCGATATTTTTGTTGTCGTTGAATGTTGGGTGGGGGTGGGTTGGTGAGTCAGGTGTTGAAAGATGTGATTTTATATGGTATCTTTTTTTTAATTTTTTTTTTTTTTCATTTCGTTACCTCGTTCATATCAATCTAAAAGAATAATTTCGAATATGACTTTAATTATTGTAACTCTTGTAACTCTTGTAACTTTTCATATTAATATTAATACTTTAATGTACACAGTCAAACATTGTCAAGGGCCCAGTAATATTTTTCAAGAATTAATTTAAGAAAAAAAAACACTTGATTGTCATTTATGAAAAAAATTAACATAAAACACAAAACAAATTTAATTTTATATATACAATTTTGAATATATATATACATATATAAAGTTATAAATAAAATAATGGCCAATATGTGTGTGGGTGTGTGTAGGTTCCGGCTAGCACAGACATGTTGGTTGTGAGCTGTCATTAAAGTGTTAATTAACTGTGATAATTATTTAATATTTAATTTCTAATTTTACAATTTATTATTTCTTCATTTATTTTCTACTAGAAAATAAAAAGAATCATTTTTCTTTCATTTTGATATTTTTCTTTTTTTTTAAATGAATTCCCACGAAAGCAAATAAATATTTTTCGTTTATTTTCTTCTTTTCAGAGACGTATGATTTTTGGAAATGTTTTAAAACCATGTTACCATCTTTTTACCAAGAAAAAACACGTCCAATATAGGAAAGAAAAAAAAAACTAGGCGGGTGGCATTATGATCAAATAAAAAGAATAAAAAAAAAAAAAAATACAAAAAACAACAACCGATGATCAATTTTCGTGATCATTAAGTGGCGCGTTTCCTAAAATATAGTTCTCTAAACACCGTTCGTTTCCTGCCGTTAAAATGGTCTCTCCCCCTCACCTCACCCCCCAATTCTTTCTTTTTCTTTTTAATTCTTTTTTCTTTTCCTTTCTTCCTTTCGTGTTTTCATCTCTTTCTTTCTAACTTCGTATTTCCGATAGTAGTTTTGTGGTTTTAACTTTTTGAAGAACGCGTTTATAGTTTGCGATATGATGTTTAAATTTGTATTATTTTTTTTTTTTTTTTTACTAACAACGCTCGACCAAAAATCGTTGTTTCTTTTTTTTTTTGAGCTAATTCGTCTAATCATTTTCTTCTACTAGTTGTTCATTTGTTGGTTTTGTTATTTTCAATTATATATTATTTTATCAATCGTGTAAATGGTTGCAAATTACGAGTTTTGAAATGTAATATTTTTCCTAACACAATTTCAAATATATTCGTCAATTTTTTTTTTTTTTTATTAACAAATTAAATTTATATTTACCTACGACCATTAACAAAATTTGTTTCTAATAATTTTCATAATTTATTATTTTTCTTCAAAAATATTTTAAAAAATTAAAAAACAAAAATACCTCGTTTTTATCATTGTCAAAAATAATTAAAAAAAAAAAATTAAAGAAAACGAAGAATAATAAAAAAAATAATAATAATAATAATAATAAATAATTAAAAGAATTAACATAAAGAAATATATTATCTATAAGAATTAAAAAAACATTTTTCTCGTTTTTATGATAAAAAAAAAAAAATTAAAAAAAAAAGAATAATAATAATAATAATAATAATGATAAAAATAATAATCAAATAAAATCATGAATAGAATGAAAAATAATAAAAAATAAGTAATAAAAAAAAAAATATGACGTATACGTAATCAAGAAAAAAAAAGGAAAATTGTTATAAGCAAGACACATATATAACCTCGTCAAACATTTTGTCATGGCATATTACGTATATAAACCTTTAGCTTGGTTCGTATTCACGCGTGTTATTTGACTTTTTCTCTAAGCAAAAACCTGCTACAGAACAGCGAGCTTTTCTCCGTCGTGTCGTAGGACAAACAACGGGCGACAGACGACAGAAACGAAAAAGGCAACACGGTTGTATTTCTCGATTCAACAACCCCTACCACCATTACCACCACCACCATTACTAATACTACTACACCATCATAGCCATTTACGATGATTGCTTGATTTTATGTATTTATACGAAAGAGCTTTTTCTTTTTCTCTCTTCTCTCTTCTCTCTTCTCTCTTCTCTTCTTTTCTCTCACTTTTCCGCCTATCGCTAATAATACTCACTGTTTTCAAAGTGCTTCTTCTCGCGAGAGATATCATTTCACGTTTCTTCTTCTTCTTCTTCTTCTTTTTTTTTCTTCTTCTTCAAGAATAATTAATCAAACGTAATAATACAACAATAAAATTCAATAAAATAATAACGAAATACAAATATCACGAATATATACGTACATATACTTGTATAACGTTAAATACGTTCATAATTTATACACAAATCACTTGAAATCGATCATAATATTAATTTGAACTTTTATTTTATTTTTTAATGTTATTAGAAATACAAATATATATTTTTCTATTTAATTTATACAATTTAGAAAGTTCAAATATAAATTTTATTTCATATATTCATACTCTCAATCCATTAACGTAGTATATAACCTCAATTGATCTATACGTGCAAAATACGCATTGTAAATGCATACAAACATTGAAATTATCTTAACATCATTTATTCTTTTATTATTTTTATTTATTATTATCATTATAGAAGAATATTATATTGTCACAATATATTCTAACCTTATTTATCACAATAAAAGTAATACCATTTTGATTAGTGCAGTGATCAAGCTCAACTGATCGATTCAAATCAACTTCTATTTTCATTTATATATACATACATACATACATAAATACGTACAGATGATTTCGAAATATTCATGCCAAAAAAAAAAAAGAAAAAGAAATTAAAAAAAAAACCAATACAACCATTAGTTACTTAAATTCCCAAGAGTATCGGAGAGATGTTAGGTTAATAATGTCGTAGTGTTAGGAGACACGTGTACACGCGTGTCCATGTAATAACAAAAGAAAGTGAGAGAGACAAAACTATAGTCAAGAAGAAGGAGAAGAAGAAGAAGAAGAAGAAGGGTAGGGGGTTGGAAAAGGGCCCCTTATAGTCATAGCATTAGCTTCGCAGTTTCGCGACGACGTTTTAATATTTAATGCGATTAAACTTGTTCCGTGTGCCGCCGCCTCGCCTAATTGCCATTCCGATTAACAGCTAAGTTTTAAGTGCATTAGGCACGGCCGATTGTTATGTGTAAGTAAGTACTTACGTATATTATATACCTAACTGACTGACGATGATCATGGCAATAATAGTAAGTGCAGATGAATATATTGTGATCATTTCTTATATCAAAATTTGAGTTGTTATTATTCATCATTATTTACATTTTTTATATAACGTATGAATTATTCATTAACATTCAGAAGTATTTAATATAAAAATATATATATATATATATATATATATATATATATCTCGTTCACATATTCAATTGATTTACGTAGTAAAGAAAGATTAGGATAGTAAATAATAGGTAGTATTAAAAGTAAAGAAAGTAAAGATTAACGTAGTAGTTCATTTTTGCAATTGATTTACGTAGTACATAACCTCAATTGATTTATGCGTATATAATGTATATAATATTGTAAATGCATACACACATTTAAATTATTTTCAAAATTATTTATTATTGTTATATCGGAATATTATTTTGTTTTATATATTTTTTATATTTTTTATTACAATAAAAGAATATTATAGTATAAATATAAATATATAAATATATATAAAAATAAATATAAGAGAAAATATAATATATAGTATAAATATATTACACAACCTCAATTGATCTTTAAATGTAAAATATGCATTGTAGATGCATACACATATTTAAATTATCTTTAAAATTATTTTTATTATTATTTTTTATTATGATAGAAGAATATATATATTGATAGTTTCTAATATCGGTCGTGAAATCGAAGTGGTGAGTCGCAATTCGGGATAAGTTGTTGGTAGGGGTTGGTAATCCATGGACTCAGCGGGTGTCTCTACTCGCCTGAGTTTCACTCCATCTTCCGTTGACAGACAAAATACCCTGCGAAATGCTTCTATACCTGTATGCATGTATATATGTATGTATGTATGCTCTCGCGTGCTCATATATACTGTGTATGTGATAGAAAGAGAAAGAGAAAACACTAACTGGATTCGTGATCTATCCTATCGAACCGTCTGTCCAATTACAACTACGAAAACTTAATTAAACGATGGTCCAATAAAAACTACCGATGAAAACTGGACTACTTGAAGAAATCTATGAATTATTATTATTATTATTATTATTATTATTACTATTATTAGAAGGAAGTATATAGTGTAACGAGGTTGGGGGATAATAATTTTCAAAATGGAAAAGAAGTTTTTGGTTACTACAAATAAAAATATTTAATTTGTAATTATAATAGTTATTAATAAATCGTAATCTTTATTTTATTTTTAAATAATTTAAAGATAAATCAATACTATAAATATAAATATAAAAATATATTAAAAATAATTTCAAGTTAGTTTATAAAAAATAATTTATTAATTTAAATCAAACAGTTGGAAGATTTATAAAAAAAGAAAATGTAAATATATAAAAAATAAATAATAAAATAAATAATAATAAAAATATTAAAATAAATAATTTAATAATTGAAATAATCATTTAAAGATAAATCAATTTTATAAATATAAAAATATATTAAATAATTTCAAGTTAATTTATAAAAATAGTTTTATAATTTTAATGTTGCATCAGTTAATAAATTCTAATTGTAATTAAATTGTAATTAGTTAATAAATACGTAATTTCTTTTTTAAATAATTTTCAAATACATTAATATTACAAATATAAAAATAATTCAATGATTTTGATCAAATAATTTGGGGGTTTATAAATAAAATCGTGATTACAATTATTTGATTATATATGTTTAATTTATTATTAGTTTTTTTTTCTTTTGATATATATATGTATTCTAATTGATATATTATTATGATTATATTTTCTCTTCGTAAAATTTACTATGACACATTTTAATTAATTACATTTGATAAATATTATTAGCACCCTCAGAATTGAATCCTTTTCTTTGCTGATTTTCTCGGAGATTTTTTCTCGATGTGTTTGTCTCGCAAGGTAACAAACAGAGCTAAATTGAACATTTCAAATAAAACTCATAATTTTTACAATTTAAACAATTGGTAGTAATGAAATTTGAATAAAACAAAAAAGGAAAATAAAAAAAAATGATTGAACACTTACAGCTTCGTTAACATTTCCTTGATGGAACAATTTCATTCGTTGTGCATCATTATTATGAGTTTGCGGTGAAATATTGTCAAATTGAGAATCGAAATTATTTTTCATCCATGATGAGGCCGGATATAACAATTGAGAAGTAACTTCCGTGGGTGTGCGTTTACCGTTCGTCCATCCTTGACTATATTGAAAGGTCTGACACAACACGTCAGTTGTCAGAAACGATAAAACGAGGACAATAGTTGCACCATAAACAATAGCCATTTTTCTGTAATCAATAGTCACATATATATATATATATATATATTACATTTTAATTAATATAAAATACTACAAACATATAGTTAAACATATCAATGCTAAAAATTATGACAATTATTATTAAAATATATAAAATACAAAAAATTTTATTATATATTATATATAATATTAATATACAATTTTAATGAATTATTTTGACTATAAGTTTCAAAAAAAAAAAAAAAATAAAATAAAATATTAATTTAAATTAATTTAAATAATAAAAAATTATTAACAATAANAGAATAGTAATAAAATAAAATAAAAAATTAAAGATAAAATAAAATAAAATAAAAATAAAAAATAAAAAAAAAAAAAAAATAAAATAAAATATTAATTTAAATTAATTTAAATAATAAAAAATTATTAACAATAAATAAAATATCTTATAAATATAATTAATATTAAATAAATATATATAATAAATAAATAATAAAATTATAATAAATATATTATAATATGTAATATAAATAATATTAAATAAAATATCGTATAAATCGTATAAAAATCAAATACGAAATATCATAATAAAAATTTTACAAATTATGTTTATAATAATTATATATATATATGTCATATTATTTATCACGATTTTATTAAATAGTTTTAATACGATTGAGAGACGAATTGAAACGTTGAAATGAAGGTAACGAGAGTAGGGTTAATTAATCCTTTGAAAGGTAGGACAAAGTGGAACAAACGTAGGTAAATTTATTGGCATACGTCTAAATAGACTAAACGTCTTTTCAAATTGAAAATTTTGATGGTATGAGAATGGTTTAGGATGAAGGAGAAGAATATGAAAAAGGTGGTAGAGATTAAGATAGAAATGGTGATGAGTAAACCGATTCTATTAGTTATATGACACAGAGACACTCATGAACTAATTGTGAAAGACACATTGGAATAATTTAATAATCAAGACTTTTTTATTATATCATTCTTTTTCAATTAACTCGAGTTAATTCGTGTCCTTATTGACCTGCCGACTTGGTACGATCGATTTCATCTCAAGAAATAAAAAACAAAATAAAGGACAATTTATAATAGTATTTATTATATTTATTTTCATTCCTAATTTTATCTATATATACATATATATATATATATTAGGTCGAGTCATAAGTAACTTCCGATGCAGTTATGTAAAATATATTTTTCGTATTTACCTATAATAAGTCACCGAAACAAACGGATTTTCGATATCACTATATAGATGAGGATTCAGTTTAGTCTTCTGTCAACTTTTTTTATGTAATCAATGTTACATTTAACCGTTTTTCTTAACCACTCAAATGGATGGTAAAAAGTGCATATTCGACATGTAATGTTTGAAGAATTGAAACAAGACAATAACACTAAAGTGGCAACTGAAAAAATATGCAGTGTATACAGTGCAGGACTGATAACTGATAGGGCAGTCAGAAATTGGTTTGTGAAATTCCGTTTCTGAAGATACGATCTTAAAAGATGAACCGAGTGCAAGGACGTATTTCCGACTTTGACGAACCTTTTAAAGGTAATATTGAGAGCAAAATCCAATAGATACGTTGAACAATTGCAAAGAGTGCAANAAAAAAAAAAAAAAACTCCATGAAAGGTGTCTTGCACTTATCAGTCGCAGAAACGCCATTCTTTGTCTCTTAAAAAACGGAAGTTATTTATGACTCGACTGTTAATATATATATATATATATATATATATATATTTATATGTGTGTATGCGTCGTATAGAAATATATTTTATTCTTATTTGTTTTTAATTTTATATTTTATATTTTAACTTATATTAAACAAAAGGAAAAAGAAATTAATATTAATATTATGTGTGTGTGTGTGTGTTATCAATATTAAAAAAAAATTTAATATATAACCGATTTTGTATACTACTACGAGACAATAGGAAGAATTTTAAACTAAACGACCATGAGCTTTAATAATAGTCAATAAATCGAAGTTGAAAACAATAGGGCAGAATACCATCACGGTTGACTTGTCAGTTCAACGATCCGATTTAGAAAAGAAAAAGATTTAAAAATGCACGACTGAACCATTTAAACGTTCAACAACTGTCAACTATTAAACAACAAAAATTGTGTTCTCCTAAATCTTTACCGACACGTTTGAAAATTGTTTCAAAACAATACAAACAAAAATATCGTAAGAAATAGATAAATTGAAATGAAATAAATGAAAAATATTGTCTTCGTTTTTAAAAAGAGTTTTGTTTCTGTTATTTTTTTAGTGGGGCCGAAACAAACCCTTTTTCTCCCCCGTTCGTGCTAATTTTAAAGGGTGGTGGGGGAGAGGGAGTAGGGGACCATTAACGCTACGCGCGTCCCTGGTCATTAAGATAAGAGTAAGTGCTACTAAGTGTCCCACGGATAAGAAACGTGACCAGCATCGTCTCTGTTGCATAGAGACGAAACACATAGGGTCTTCCTTCCTTCCATTGGTCGTTTTATTCTTTCTAAAGAGAAAAAGGACGAATGGTGAAAGGGGTGAAGGTGAAAGAAAAAGAATAGAAAGAGTGATAGATATAGAAAAAGGATTAGGGTTGGTTAAGTTGGCATCTTACCTATCTGAACTATTCAAATATTTGATTGACGAGTTATCTATCTATTCATTTTTTAGCAACATTTAGAATGTTGCATCAATTGTTTAAAATACAAAATAAAATAATAATAATAATAATAATAATAGTGTGTTGCACCGTGTGTTTAAAATACAAAATAAAATAATAAAAATAATGTTACACTAATTATTTAATACAAACAAACAAAAATCTACGTGTAAATGCATTTGTACAAGTTTACAAATAATTTCAATAGAATCGTTTAAATATTTGAAATTTTATTATTATTAATTATATAGTTTTAATATTGTTTTTGCTGGTTAATTATTTTATTAAAATATTCAATTGTATTTGTAATTAACTTCTTTAATATAATTAGGTTTATTATAATTTTATTATAATTATATAATAATTTATTATATTAATAATTATATAATTTAATAATATATTTTTTATTAATAATATAATTTTATAATTATATTATTGAATATATGTTTTACTAATAATTTAATATATTAATAATTATATAATTTAATATATTTGTTATTAATAAAATTTAGTTTCATTAAAAATTTAATTTATTTTTTTAATAAAAAAATAAAATACTTCAGAAAGATCCCTTTTCCATATAAACAAAAAAAAACTATTTATAACTATTCCAAAAAATTTATATTTTTTTTTTTTATTAATTCTATATATCTATTTAATTTCCACTGTAAAACAATATACTAAAATTTGGAAACTCGAGAAATATAATACATATTAGATAAAAATAATTAAATTATAAATTAAGCAAAAGATATTATAGGGAAAATTTAGTTTGTGTGTGACCAATATTTTTGATCAATAATACATATACATATATATATATATATATACAGGGTATACTTTTGTAAATTTGATGAAATTAGCTGAATTAAAATCAAACGTGGTTTTCCTTCTACGTTTAACTCGTTGCATTATAGTATAGCCGATTGGGATATATACGTTCGTGTAAATCGAACGATTCTAGGAGTAGGACGAATAAGCTATTGCAATTTTAAATTACTCCTCGTTAACGCTTACGCCTGGTATCAATTACTAATGAGAAATGTCGAAATGGATTTAAGCTAACTACGATGACCTGATAAATCCTTTAAACGTGTTAGAGGGCTATCGTATTCGAACTAACGCGTATAGAAAATATATCGATATTCGATCGGTTTACCCTTCCATTATATTTTATTCTCAGCTTTTATTTTTTTTTTGTTTCTTTTCTTTTCTTTTTTTTTTTTTTGTAAAAAAAGAACTTTAATTCAATTTGTTCCAATGTAAGATTAATTTATCTTGTTCTTTATTTCTTTCTTTTTATTTTATTTTATTTTATTTTATTTTATTTTAGTTTATTTCTCACTTCGATTTATTGGCACTCAGTATTTTGATATATATAAATAAAAATATAAAAATAAATATAAAACTAAAAAAGAAATAAATGGATAATAATTTTTCAAAAAATAATATAATAAAAATAAATAATGAATATGATAGAAATGTAAGATTAGTGATGTAAGAGAATGATTGTAAATACTCATGTACTACAGGGCATGCAATAAAAACCTACTACTACTACTACTACTATAATAAAAATAAATAATTAAATAACACATAATATAACACACATTTGTTATTTATAATATAATTACTTATTTTTATTTTAATTTTTCAAAATGTAAATGGTCAGTTGTTATATTATAATAAAATTATATATATATATATATATATATTATTAACTTTTATTATAACTCTGATACAACTCGTATTAAAAATATTAATATATATATATATATATATATATATATTTGTATTAATTAAAAAAAAAAAAATTTCAAAGTATCCTACTTAATAAAAATATCGTGTCATTATTATCTGAATAATTAATTGAATATAAATATATACTTACAGTGTGTTTTATTTTTTCAGTTATTGAGACAATTTTCTGTATAAGATGACCAAGTATGATCTATGTTGATCCACGAGAAGGTTTCTTCGAAAACTATGCTGTCGGTTATACCAGGACTAGCTTTTATAAGGGAAAATCCGTCCTAGTTTATCATGGTTACATATTTCTTTTTTTTTTTTTTTATCAACCATCTTAAATGTTTCACGCAAAATGTCTCATTCAACGGATGGATGTTGGTTATTAAAATTAGCCAGGTATTGTGATATAATTTGTAAAATCTAAGGAAAGTACAGGAATATACAAAGAAAACATCAATTGACTCATTTGAAGGACCTTACGTGCGCGTAGGTGTGTTTCATTAGTTTTCAAGGAGAAAGATTATGATACGTTTTAATAATAACTCTTCTAACTATTCGACATTTTGAAAAGGATTTCGATGTAGAAATAGAAAAAATCAAAATGTCAAGAGAGAGAGAGAGAGAGACTCATCATCAGCGATTAATTCGTTTAGGAGAATTATTTCGAAATTCCGAAATATTTTGGGGGAAAAAAAAGTAAAAAAGAAACCATCTCTTATTTTAAAACAAAATTTATTACTATTCAAATATTTATTACAGTGCACTGTGTCGTGACTCGATCGCTTGCACGAAATCGCATTACTCTTTTCCTTCGAATAATATATATATATATATATATATATATATATATGCATGTATATTACCTTCGAACTCGATCGAAACGTTTTATGTCGATTACAGTAAAAAAAGAAATTAAAAAATACTCCAAAATACCATCTTATTTATACAGTAATGCAGAATCCTATTATTATCTCGAATGATAAAACAGAACTCTACTATTAATATATACAATCTATCCTACAGATTAATTCCATTTTATTTCTTACAACATTATTTATAATTTCAATAACATTTAATTTTCTATTTCATTTATCTATACTTTTTCAATTTTCCACAAAAATAGAAAACTTCTTTACCATAGATGTCGATAAATAAGTATTCTAGAATTTACTTACCGACCGAAATTTACCGACATCCATACTACGTCGATAAATTATCGATCATATGAATTTATCTCGAATAAAAGATATTATTGATGTAAGATATAAACAGAGATGGAACGACTGTTGACATACGTAAGATGAATAACAGCGTCATCTATTACAAACATATATAAGGTTAACTCAGTAACGAAGGTCATGTGACGTACGACAGAAGCACATTTCTCGTTCTCCGTTGAACACGCACGTAAGTTAAAAGCATAACACATTCAATACGTATCTATCTATCTTTTTCTAACTTTCTTTCAACGCGTATACATATATTTATCTAAATACTCCTTTTGCATTCTTAAATATGATTACCCGCAATCGTAGTGTTGTGTCGTATAGAAAACCAAGTGTACGTATATAGATATGTATGTACATATTTGGTAGATGATTTGGTGATAATAAGATCAGTCTTCTTAGTACAATCGTGGAAGAAAAGACACACAACAAGCATCAGTTTAATTGTATCACTTTGTGTATGTATCTTTCTTCCTAATTTAAGGCTCGTTTTGTTGTTGTCGTCGTCGTCGTCGTCGTCGGTCAATGAGCTTATGCACATTTTAAAAAACAAATTAAATTTAATATGTTTTGAGATTGAATATCTAATAAATTGAATTGGTGAAGATGAATATAATGAAGAAATAAAATCATATAACTATAAATATATAATTTATCTTGTCAATTGATTTAATTATCTATCTATCTCTATCTGTCTAGTATTTATCTCTGTGATATCGTGAATAAGGATGATTATGTATGTGAATGAAAGTGTCGTAATACTGGGTGTTGTACTTTAAAAAGACATCAAAGAAAATATTTCGGGATCTTTCTTTGTCCTTAAGAAGAAAAAGATGAATAAGAAGAATTGAATTGAATTGAATTTGTGTATACCAAGATGAAGCTTTTCAACGTCAATTTTCACACACTTTGAAAGAGGTATGTGTGATGTGTTTAAAATTAAGAACAAAGAAAAATATATATATATATTATTAAGAAATATTAAATTAATTTAATGAAAAAAAAATAATTAATATAGTAATAATAATAATAATAATATAAAATTTTAAACGTTTAAAAAAAAAGTCAAATCCTTACTCGAATTTAATTCTTATTAAAAATCTTAATTTGTAAATTATCAAATCGAAATAAATTATAAATATTAATAAAAAATAAAACAACAACAACAACAACAAGATAATAATCCTAAAAGTTTTTCAATTAACCAATTTAATAGTAAAAATACAACCATGATGGGTAGTAATATCATCGAATTACGTAAATGAGTTGAAAGATTTTGACTAACGTAGTAAACAAATTTCTCTTGTTAGTTTTGAACTTTTGAAAGAAAAAAAAATTAAAAAAAAAAAACTAATTTATTTTTATTGTTACTGTTCTTGTTGTTGTTGTTGTTGTTGTTGTTGAGATTCAAAACATTTTAACCTTTGCCATTAGTAAAACGCAATTAATTACTATGCAAAAAAAAAAAAACAAAGAATTAATTAATTATTATTATTATTATTATTATCTTGTCGTATTTTAAGAAACACAGGAAAACTCGTTGAAATAATTTATCACTTACGCACTAACATTTATTCTTTCTGTTTCTATCTATGCTGTACGAGGATAATGATATGTGTGATAAGACACGCGTTAATGTTAAATACGAATACAAACACATACACACAACAACACACACACATATTCATATATATAAATATAGATAAATATGTACACAATTGTCATCACGTTTTACCGAGTTACACATTCATATTAAAACATAAAATTATATTTATTTATATTAACGTTATTACTAATGTTTATAGGAATATTATATTATATATATGAGATTGTTTTTAATAATTTATTTGTACACATATATATAAATCTAGTTGTTTGTCTATTTAACAAAGTTTTCGTTTGAAACTATCTTTTACGTAATTACTCTTTGACGTAAGATGATCGATCGATATATGTATCTGCTCTACTGCTTATAAGTGTGTGTGTGTGTGTGTGTGTGTGTGTGTGTGTAAATGTGTGTGTGTGTGTATAAATGTGTGTGTGTGTAAATGTGTGTGTGTGTATATATATATAAATGTGTGTGTGTGTGTGTGTNTGTGTGTGTGTGTGTGTGTGTGTGTGTGTAAGTGTGTGTGTGTGTGTGTGTGTGTAAATGTGTATTAAAATTATATGTGTATGGTTATGGTTATGTATGCAAAGTAATATGATAATTATCTTAAAGATCGATTTATCTTTACTTGTTAAACAATGTATACCTTATTATCGATTTAAGATTGAAATGTGGAGATTATTTTCTAAATATAATTTTAAATATTAAAAAAAAAAATGTATATATATGTATTTATGAATATATATATACATGTTTTATGTGATTATTAATTTTGGTTATCTTTCCAATTAACCAAATGAACTAATTTGAGTTGTAGATAAGCGAATGAACTTACGATTATTCGATTTTTTCGATATTAAGAAATGGCGCGAAAATTCAAAATCAATGATTTCAATTGAGCAATGAAAATGAATTTAAATATTATAGATATAAATTTTGAATGACAAATTACACGAGATTTGTAATAAAATTGTGAATTAATGATAACTATCTTTGAGAAAAATGATAATAGGAATTAAACAACAAAATAGGAAAAGAAAAAACAAAATGAAGGAAGTATCATTTATTTTCTTTGCTTTGGTTGAATTTCTGCTTATGCCAGAAGTTCGTATTATTGTAGAAAATAAATTAACGTAACGGCCTTCATTTAGTCATTAGCATTTTTTGACACATGCAGTATATTTATATATGTGCATAATATATTTGACTTGACTTGTGTAAATATAACATTCTTCGTAGATATTTACTTGCATGTTTAATTTAAATTTTTTTCTTTTTTTTTTTTTTTTTTTTAATTTACCTTGATAAACTTTTCACATTTTTTTTTTCACAAATGTCCTATTTTTCATTTTTATTTATTTATTTTTTTTTTTTAATCGAAATAAATTTAAATTAATTTTTTGTAAAATTATTTTCAACATGTGTCGATAAAAGTTTAATTATTTATTTATTTATTTTTATAATACAATATTTAAATATATTTTTTTTTTATTTTTATTTTAATTCAATCAAAATTCAAAATGTAAATTAAGACACAATTAAATAATCATTTTTTTTTCTTTTTCAGTCTTATCTGATATAATTAAATTCGTTGAAATATGATTTATAAGTTTTAAGCATAGATTAACATTTTTCAGACGAATTTTGGTTGACATTTTATTTATTTATACACGTAAAAAAAAAATTAAAAAAAAAATAAAAATGTGTTATCTCTCTCCTTGTTTTACGATTATTACATTCAATGATATTACTGTTAATAAATAAATAAAATTATATACATATACACACACACAATTATTATAATTATGCCCATATATTATGAAAATGATCTAAGTCAAAATTAATAAAAA